CATCATACTCCCTTACCTTCGTATGTATAGACATACTCTCTCTCTCTCTCTCTCTCTCTCTCTCTCGCCTGCATGTGCTAAAATTTGAGTGATGTTCACATCCAGGTCGACATAATCGGGGTTAGCTGCTATTCCTCCAAGGATCTGTGGACATGGAAAAATATAGGGGTTGTTCTGCGAGGAGAGAAGTACAATCTCACCCACGACCTCCATGAAAGTAACGTGCTGGAGAGGCCCAAAGTCATATACAATGACCTCACCAACCAATATGTCATGTGGATGCACATTGACGATGTAAACTACACGAAGGCCTCAGTTGGTGTAGCCATAAGCTCCTCCCCAATAGGGCCCTTCAAATATCTTCACAGTAAGAGACCCCATGGCTTTGATAGTCGAGACATGACAATATTCAAGGATGATAATAACAAAGCGTACATCATCTACTCATCAGAAGACAACAGTGAATTACACATTGGTCCTTTAACCGATGACTATTTAGATGTGACCAGAGAGATGAGAACGGTACTAGTTGGTCAAAAGAGAGAGGCACCAGCTCTATTTAAGCATATGGGTACATATTATATGATAACATCAGGGTGCACGGGTTGGGCTCCAAATGAGGCCATGGCCCATGCAGCTGAGTCGATCATGGGGCCATGGGAAACATTAGGGAACCCATGCATAGGGGGAAATGGGATTTTTCGAGCAACCACCTTCTTCTCTCAAAGCACATTTGTAGTTCAATTGCCTGGTTTGCCTGAATATTTTCTTTTTATGGCCGATAGATGGAACCCCGCTGATTTGAGGGATTCGAGGTATGTTTGGCTCCCATTGACCGTTGGGGGAGCAGCTGATGAGCCATTAGAGTATAGTTTTGGATTCCCTTTGTGGTCGAGGGTGTCCATATATTGGCACAGGAGGTGGAGGCTTCCTCAAGGTTGGCAGATACCTAGGCCTAACTACAGATTAGGGTGATTTGTAACATGATTTTTGTGTATTATATATGGATTTTAGGTGGGGGTGATCTCATGTTTTGTTCATTGTTTATGTTGATTATGTAATATTGGGTTTATCGATCCCTTTCTCTCTCTCTCTCTCTCTCTCTCTCTCACACACACATTCTCTCTCTCTCTCTCTCTCATTGTTGTATCAGTAGCCATTCCCTTCCTCATGTGTTGTTGTAAAGTCGATATAGGCTTTCCTCGCCCAACCTCATTCCTCTCTCTGATGTGGGTTTCTTGAGTTATATTTGGTGGCATTTCCCCCTCTGCTACGAAAATTTGATATGTGAGTCGTTATGCAACGTCTATGACACCCACCACTTCCCTCAAAATTAGACTGGCATTTCCCCCTGTACTAAGAAGTTTTTATAGGTGAGTCATTAGCATCGTCTGTGACACCCACCCCTCAGCTCCTCAACATTGGGGTTTGCCTCTACTTGTGGTTAACTTAAAACATGTGAAAGTGTGGACATGCTTTTTCTGGTTATTTGCCCTATGATGTCTGTATCACTTATTGATCAAATGGTTGTTACCAAGTGTTGTCTATGGATCTGGCTGACCATCTCAACATATCACCTCTGTACCCATGATTGATTGATGGATAACTGAAGTTTCGTGCACATGTAGCGATACCATATCCCACTTTCTATGTAGGGCTGGCAATGTGCCCAGCAGCCCAGCCTGGCCCTGATTAACTAGGGCCTTAGCCACAAAATGTGGCTTGAGGGCTAGGCCAGGGCCAGCTCGGCCCTACCTTTTTGTCTTTAATTTTTTCATTTTTCTTTTATTTGTTCTATTAGACCTGGCCTGACCAAGCCCAGGGCCGGCCTGGGTTAGGGAGCCCTATAGGGAAGGGACCAGGGCAGGGCTAGGGCGAGGGCTGGCCCGATGCATTTGCAGCCTTATGTGAAATGATCTTACGAGTTGGATTTAGAGAGAGGTGGTCGATAGATACATTCAGAGTTGTGAAATGATCTTACGAGTAGGATTTAGAGAGAGGTGGTTGATAGATACATTCAGAGTTGTGAAATGATCTTGCCGGGATTTACAGGGTGGTGGTTGAATCATTCAGATTTGTGGATTCTTTTGATTTTTGGTGGCATAAAATCAAAATGTTTGGATGGTTTCTGTTGACCCTAAAATCTGCTCAAGACTGAAACGAGCATGTTGACACCCCAACCAGACGGGCACTTAATAAGAATTTCATTCATGAATGGAATTATGATTCAAATGGATAATGGGAAGCAGTTGGGCACTTAATAAGAACGCTTGTATGAATGGAATTATGGTGTGACGATAAAAGGCTTGGGTAGCCAGCTCAAGAGCGCGGGTTCATGTCTTGAGAGCGACCATTTTGTGCATAAAAAGCCAAAAGGTAGAACTATTTATCTCAACCCTCTCGGGATCTTCTATAGGCGAGACCAGCATCGGGTCATACCCCTTTTATGTGCAAGGGGCCAATGGCGACGCATGGTGGCAGATTCAATGACCTGAATACTATAATGCTTAACGGCAACATAAATGAGAATGTGTTCTAGAGCAGCCAGCATAAATGAGAAGGGCCGCACTCAAATGATTTGAATAGCGTAAAACACCAGCAATCCGGATCATAACCTTCAAAGTTGGATTGAGAAACAGAGGATCTAGCCTTGTTCAACCAAAATTTTGAGAACCGGCCGGTTCCCTCTAGGAACTGACCAAAACCACCTCATCTTTTATTTTTTTATTTTGTTCAATCTTTCTTGCTCTCTATTTTTTAAAATGTTTTATTGGTCGACTCACTCGGCCTGATTACCGAACTTAACCGCTGATTGGATGAACCAAACCGGTTTTCTTGATGGGCGATCCAACCCATCGATCTAATTTTTTAAACCTTGAGTTTGAATATTCAACACTTGGATTTACTGTAAACTGGGCAAATGTACAACTCCCAAGTCCCTAAGAGCAACGCAATATTAATGGAGTTCTGCACAAAGTGGATTTGCCTTTCCCATTGGGCTTAGTGAATATGCCTATTGGTGTTTGGAGTGATCTTAAGTCGAATATGAGAATAAATGCGTAAAACAACTCAAGATAACTTCAAACAATACTCTTACTAGGGATATCCATGTACAAAGCTTTAATTATTTCTGGGTCAAAAAGTTCTAAGGCACCCATGGACATCTTGTTAATTATATTTGTTGTCATATATAAGGGAAGAGTGAAAAACCGTGTTTAATTGGTTACAGATGAATTCACCAAGAGTACAAGATAGTCGGATCTTTTTTTTCTTTTTGGATAATTCAGTCCGGATAACGAGCCCCCTATCGGTTTTTTGAAATTGTTAGTGGTTTTTGAATGATTTAGGTGTGAATGGAAGCCTAGATCATAGCTAGGGCACAAGTGCTGCTACCACCACAATTCCAACCCATTCTTTTAAAAATGGTAAGTCAGGGGGGATTTGGGCCCTTACCTTTTAAAAAAAATAGAGTCAGAGACCTCATCACGGAGCTACGCAATACTACTGCCAAGCTCTAGGCCATTCTAAGCCAGAACCTATTTGCTGAGAGGAAACTACCACTTTCTATTATGCTCTTTACTGCCCTTTTCCTCTAGTCTTGCCTCCATATCCTTTTCAATGCTTGTGGACGATCTAATTATAAGCATTGAGCATCTCTAGTTAGCAGTTGATAATCGTGTCCAATAGTTACGATGAAATGGGTAATTCGTAGAGCAACACATAACTTTTCATGATCACCAAATTCTGGAGTGGAATCTAAAGTGTTCCTCCCGTCTCGAACATATGCAACGCCATACTTTATTCTAAGGGTGTGGTTTCTATAAGGTTGCAACCTTAAACAACGCACCTTCAAATTTTATCGTGACATGTAATTTTGGTGTAAAAATTTCTTAGGATTATTTCAAAATCTATTTTCATATCTAATTATAAAATTTTAAACTCTAAAAATAGTTAAAATCAAGTAGATCTATTAACATATGAAAATCTTGAAAACGGATGGTCTAGATCATGTGTTGCAAGATGCACTATTTTTTAGAACTCCAAATCTTTTTTTTTTTTAATATTCATACATCGCGATGTCAAGATGATCAGTTAGAGGGTTGAAAAACATTAAATCTAACCTTTTCCGATGGATTTTTGATGTGCATATGTGATTCTACATTTTAAGGTTGCAACCTTATATAAACTTTTTTCTTATTTTAATACGATATTTTGTAATGCTTCCCTCTTGAAGGAAAGGGCTTATATTTCTGATTTGCCCCTCCGGAAATTATAGAATTATTTTATTCGGAATGTGTTTACATTGTTCCAGTCCTCATGGTATTAGACACAACGGTATTTTTATGCACTTATCGTGTTTTGACCTAAAAAACAAAGTAGATTCCTTAAAAGTGTATTATATTATACAGTAATGATCCTATGAGACCCTCCCACACCTATGTGTGTAGGACTTCAAAGGATCACCATTAAATTTGGCACAGATCTCTAAAAAAGTCAAGTCCCACATCCATGTGATAACTTTTTTAGAGATCTATACCAAATTTAATAGTGATCTTATGGGGTCCTACACACATGGGTGTGAAAGGGTCTCATAGGATAATTACTCTATATTATAACGGAAGTTTGGGCTACGTAAAAAATATACCCAAAGAGTTACCACCCCCCCTCCCGTCCCGCCAAGGGTATATTGATGTAAATGTTCAGGTGTATTTTCGGTTAAGAAATATTTAAACTGTGAAGATCCTTCCCTACGAAGATGTTCTGGGCATGATGTAAAATTGTAATGATACTCATTGTTACATGACGTAAACGGCATAGATGGCTCCATGGTTGCTTGAGTTAAAACTGTTGGCCTGGCTATTTTTCAAAAATCTCCCTTTTTCTAAAATTTCATAATTTGCGGCGTCTTATAATTTCAGAAAATGTACTTTCTTTATTAAAATAGTACTCTCATTCCTTGTTATGTTTTCAAAATCTCTCTATTCTCAAAATTTCTAAAATATTTTATTTAAAAAAGTTCTAAATTTTTTATAAAACAGTTGTAACTGTGATTATCTTTTCAAAGAGTTTTGAAGAATGAGTTAAAGAGTTAAAGAATCTTCAGAGAATCTTCCTAGCAAAAATCCCACCCAATATAAACCGCTAAACAAAGAGGGAAATGGAGCTTACGAACTATAGCCAAGTTCAAATTTTGAGAAGAAACGAAATTTGAAAGCCTAAGATCAAGTGGCATAATGAGAAAATCCAGTTTGGAGTCTGATGATGACCAACATGAAAAAAAAATTTAAGAAGATCTCAAGTCTAAAAACCCTAGGATGAAATTGTCCTTGATGACTAAGTGGGTTAATGCAGCATCTCGATGAAGCTCCAAAAATGGACAAGTGTGCCCTCTAACCATTTGGTATTAGGATCACCCGCAAAGTTGAAAATTGGCAATAGATGTTTACTTTTTTGTGGTCCACCTGTTCCTTAAAACACATGTTACGTCAAAGAGGGGCAACTATAGACATCCAATTGAAAATATGTTAATTTTCTAAATTTCTAAACCCAAATCCCCAAAAACATTTAGGAAAATCCTTAAAATGACCTAATAAACCCCTGAGGACCATACCAGCGTAGAAAACCCCAGTGTACTACCATCCATAGTCCTCATAAGCTAAATCATTATCCCAACTTTCCAAAATATCCTAAAAAATACCAAATAGAAATCCTAAAAGCCATTAGATTTCCCAGAATCCAGATAGGATTGGAAAACCAAGAATTTAGGTTAAATTGGATATGTTTTGGGTTTGAAAGCGAGATAGAAATCAACCAAATTAGACAAATCAAGCAAAAAATAGAGATTCCAGGCAAAAAAAGGGGCCCAACAATGCAGATCGCGCCACAGGTTTCAGAAGCCTTGGCAATGACGATTGCGTTGTTGACCGTTTGATCAAATAACTTTCAATTGGATCGAGAGATCATTATCCCTAAAGAGATTGGAAACCTCATAGAAAGAAAACCCTAACTAGAGCCTTAGAAACCGTCATCCTCTATAGCCTTCAAACCCTAGAAACCATGGGAACATCTAAACCCT